GTCGGGCGTGTCCCCCTACAGCCGGATTTTGGACGAAAAATCCGCCGACCCTGTCGGCGTGTGTGAGGGGCTTTTCCGTTCGAGCCGTCATCTCCGTCATTCTTTGTACTCGTCGTCTCTGTCCTTCCCTTTCCCTGGGAGACCTCTGCCCCTGGGCTCCAGCCAAGCCGACCTTGAGCAACCTCGTAATTGAGTCGAAGGGAAGCCCCTTCCCTTTGATCCCTCCCCCGCCGGGAGGGGGGGGGGTAGCGACCCCCCCCCGAGATAGACGCCCCCCCCTGGGACTCAGCTCGACCCCCCCCCCGGGTCAGATACGACGCCCCCCCCTGGGACTCCTCTTCCCCTGGGCTCCAGCCAAGCCGACCTTGAGCAACCTCGTAATTGAGTCGAAGGGAAGCCCCTTCCCTTTGATCCCTCCCCCGCCGGGAGGGGGGGGGGGGGTGTCGACCCCCCCCCCGGGTCAGATACGACGCCCCCCCCTGGGACTCCTCTTCCCCTGGGCTCCAGCCAAGCCGACCTTGAGCAACCTCGTAATTGAGTCGAAGGGAAGCCCCTTCCCTTTGATCCCTCCCCCGCCGGGAGGGGGGGGGGGTGTCGACCCCCCCCCCGGGTCAGATACGACGCCCCCCCCTGGGACTCCTCTTCCCCTGGGCTCCAGCCAAGCCGACCTTGAGCAACCTCGTAATTGAGTCGAAGGGAAGCCCCTTCCCTTTGATCCCTCCCCCGCCGGGAGGGGGGGGGGGTGTCGACCCCCCCCCCGGGTCAGATACGACGCCCCCCCCTGGGACTCCTCTTCCCCTGGGCTCCAGCCAAGCCGACCTTGAGCAACCTCGTAATTGAGTCGAAGGGAAGCCCCTTCCCTTTGATCCCTCCCCCGCCGGGAGGGGGGGGGGGTAGTCGACCCCCCCCCCGGGTCAGATACGACGCCCCCCCCTGGGACTCCTCTTCCCCTGGGCTCCAGCCAAGCCGACCTTGAGCAACCTCGTAATTGAGTCGAAGGGAAGCCCCTTCCCTTTGATCCCTCCCCCGCCGGGAGGGGGGGGGGGGTGTCGACCCCCCCCCCGGGTCAGATACGACGCCCCCCCCTGGGACTCCTCTTCCCCTGGGCTCCAGCCAAGCCGACCTTGAGCAACCTCGTAATTGAGTCGAAGGGAAGCCCCTTCCCTTTGATCCCTCCCCCGCCGGGAGGGGGGGGGGGGTAGCGACCCCCCCCCCAGATACGACGGGGACTAGCCAAGCCGACCTTGAGCAACCTCGTAAGTCCTTCCCTCCCTCCCCCGCCGGGACCCCTCAGATACGACGCCCCCCCCTGGGACTCCTCTTCCCCTGGGCTCCAGCCAAGCCGACCTTGAGCAACCTCGTAATCTCTTGCTGCGCATTGCGAACAGGGTCGGCGGCACCGGCCGTCAGGCCTTCGCAATACAGACTAGTCAAAAATCATCCCCCACAAAAAACCGAACATAGTCAAACAATCGTCCCCGAACTATGTTTTGACTATTCTTGAATACTCCTCCTGTAGAGGGGCAGGCAGGGCTTAAGAGTAGATGGGGTCGGAAGATCGCGCCGCATCGCAGATGCACCAGCGACGCTGGCGGTGCATCGACGACGTCGGCGTGGCAAACGTGGGGCCCCGCATCGCAGCCGCATCGCCGATGCATCGGCGATATGGGGCCCGATCCCCTCCGACCCCACCTGCTCCGACGACCCCATCTAGGAGGCCTGGATTCTGCGGAAGCTGGGCGAGGGCTGGCAAGTCCGCGGCTGCTAAAACGATCTTGGCGGAAGAAAACAACAGAATCCTGCAATAAACCTCCACGCGCTGAATAGAAAACGGGCTTTTTCCCGGAAGATAAAGAACTCCCCGGAGCTCCGCTTTAGCAGCCACGGGTTTGCCAGCCTTCGCCTGGCCTTCGAAGTCGGCAGTGGACAAACCTCCCTTTAGCAATCCACCCTTGAATGAAAACGGCCCAAGACCAAAATCGACGGACCTGGAGCCGCAAAAATGACGGCCGCGACGCCCTCTCGCGAACCGAAAACGGCCAATTCGCTAATCGACGCGTCAGGGTTGGAGGTCTATCAACCTCCGATGAAGTGTATATAGGGAAGCTGACTCTATACACCGACGCTTCTTCCAGCCCTGCGTTGTAATTTGTACCAGAGAGCGGATGCTGGTGTATACGGGACCCCGGTCTATACATTATTCGTTGTTTTCCCGGGTCATCGGGGAAACGAAAATACACCACACCACCCCAGCGTCGTCCTCGACCCGCGAGAAGTCCAGGTTTGAAAAAACAGCCCGCCACTGGTCATGTATATGTTCCACTTCCCGAGTATTCTCCAACGTCCCAGGAGGTGCAACCTCATGCGCTGAGGGAGGGCAGCACGTTTCTCGAGGGAGCCGCGTGCCGCAGCGACCCGCGCGCGCAGGCTCCGCGCGGTCTCCGGTCGCCCCGCACGCTCCGGTCACCCTCCTCCCAGCATGCCCTGAGAGGAACTGATCCTTGACCCCTCCTTCCTCCCTCCTCCCTCCTCCCTCCTCCTCCTCCTCCTCCTCCTCCTCCTCCTCCTCCTTCTCCTCTCATCCTCCTCCTCCTCCTCCTTTCCTGTTCCAGGGTTCCATATAAGTAACTTCTTCCCGTCGCACCCCGAGGCCAGTTTTTAGGGGCCAGGCGTTTCGCCTGAGACTTCCTCACCATTTATAGCTCTGAAGCTCAAACGATGGCAACGCTTTCACAGATTGAGGGCGGGTGGTTTTCAAAATGTGGCTCTCGCCTGAGCGCCGCGCACATTCGTTTTAACAGTTCAAACGTTTGACGGATTGAGGGCGGGAAGTTTTCAAATTGCTGCTCTCGCCTTAGCGCCGCGCACATTCGTTAAAAATTACAAGAGCTTCACGGGTTGAGGGCGGGCCGTTTTCAAAATGTGGCTCTCGCCTAGCGCCGCGCACATTCGTTTTAGACATCGCAAGAGTTTCACGGGTTGACGGCGAGTGTTCAGAATGTGGCTCTCGCTAAGCGCCGCGCACTTCGTTGTACACAGTTGCAAAGGCTTCACGGATTGAGGGCCGTTCCTTTTCAAAATGTGGCTCTCGCCTTAGCGCCGCGCACATTCGTGATAAGAAATTGCAAGGGTTTCACGGATTCCCATGACCAGCGCACCACACATGGTGATTTGAAAGGATTCATGATTATGCGGGCACAATAGTTAAATTGATTCGCGGTGTTCAAATCCTAAAAATGGCGTTCTGGCACGATTCCAGATCGTCAGGACGCAGCAGTCAGACTGATCCGTGGCGTGGAAATCCCGAGAACAATGTTTTGGCATGCTTTGAAGTCTTCAAGCGGTTGTCCTCAGCGAAGCAGTTCGCTCAATGGAAATGGACCGCTGTATGGGGCCTGTGAAGATGGAGCTTGGAGGGAGGGTTAATTCACACATCGTTGATGTGACTCTTGGGTTTACTTCCTCCTCCTCCTCCTCGTCTACTCCCTCTCCTCCTCCTCCTCATCATCCTCCTCTCCCTCCCCCTCCTCCACCTCGATATCTCCTTCCTTCGACTCTCGACTACCTTGACCCCGGAGCTTTCCGGCAGGACCAACTTTCTCCAAGATAACATGTCGCCAAAGGGGTGGTACAAAATGACCACAGAGGAGTCCAACAGGAAGGGAGGGAAAGCCTAGACTGCCCGGTCGGCCGCCGTTCTGGTTGAGGCTTCCTCAATTTCCTCGGGGATCGTGATCTCGCCTCAATGCCAGCTACATGTCTGATCCAGACGGCAACGATCCCTCGTAAACAACAGCTGAAGTGCACATGGCCGTGCCCTCCTCCTGTCCCGGCCGAGTCTTCCCTACATGGGAGTTCACGTTTTCAGGAGGAGGAAGAGGGATCCTCCTCCTCCTCCTCCTCTTCCTCCTCCTCCTCCTCCTCCTGTCCTGTCCCAGGAAAACATGGGAATGCACGTTTTCACTCGCCGCCCCCCTGCTCGTCGACCCGCCTCCCACCTCTGCTGCTGTTCGGGTGCCCTGCCGGGGTCCTCACCGCCTGTCTCTTGAGGGGCTCAACACGGTGCGATGGCAGACCGTGCGGTGACCTCGAAAAAACAAGGGACCTCACCGCACTGCACGGTCTTGGCACCTTCGAGGCCCCCATCGCCTCGAGAAACGACCCAAATCCCACATCCGTGCGATCACCCCAAATCTGGGGAGACCACAAGGTACCGATACCGTTATTCCCAGAACCTCTCCCAGGGCGCGTTCTAACCTAACCAGAATGTCGGGGCTTCCTCCGTCCGCATTGTCCCTTCCGTTCATCCGTCCTCTTTCCCTGCCTTGGGGGCTGCACGACATATACACTTCGCAAGTAAGAAGAATACACCCCGAAGGCGGCACGATCGAGGACGAAGAGGGCGGGTATCGAGGGTTTGGAATATACGTGTTGACTGGCACGCGAGCAGGGAAGAGCGAGCAGTCTTGTACTGATTGTTGTTGTTGTCGTTGACATTGCTGTTGTTGTTGTTGTCATTGTTGCTGTTGCTGCTGCTGCTGTTGTTGTTGTTGTTGTTGTTGTTGTCAAGTTCTCGTGTTTTTGGCATCGGGCTCTGCTTGGCTGCCGAGCAGGTTCGATCGACCAAATTACTCACAACTTTCGGCAACCCTCTATGGGATGGCGCCACTCAAGGATCCTTGTGATCCTTCGCAAGCGTGCGCGGCCAGCGGCCTCTAGACGGCCTGTTGCGTCCCTGCGACCGAACTGCCCCGCGCACTGAAATCCCAGAAGCTTGCATCGCCCCTGTTCATCTCTGGAAGACCCGCCGCGCTTCACGCGTAAACGATATCTGAAAGCCATCCTGATGGCGCGCCCTCGGTCGTCAATGGCAGCCTCGCCGACTCCAAGCACGTCGGAAAGCTCGAAGTCGCCCCCGGCTGCTGCAGCCGCAACCGCCAGGGCCAGCGCCGCAGCGCAGACGAAACGCGGCCCTTTGGTGGGGCCGCGCCGCCACGCACCGAACCCCCCAGCCGCCAGGGGAACTCCAGAAAGCAGCCGCATTGTCGAGGGAGCCGGATAGGCAGCATCGCAGGCAATGCACTCGCCCAGCCCGCTGCGTGACGCAATGCTGCGTCACCGACAGGATCATCTTGGACGGCACCTCCAGCCTGACGCCCTCCTCCACGTCGCGTCGGCTGTGGGCCGCCGCGCAATCAGCACTGGCGACCCAGAAGATCACGCCGTCAAGGGTGAGGCGGTGCCGTTCCCAGCGCGACAGCAAGGCCGGCGGAGCGCGCAGCTCCGCAACGTGCGCCTTAGCGCAGCGGTCGGCTTCCAGGTTGCCACATCGCCCGCGCCGAGGCACCCGCCCACTCTCGACGTCCCGCGCCGTCGCGTGCGCGACGATGTTGAGGACGGTCAGCCCTGCGGGGCCCAGGTGTTGAGTTGTCATTCCAAAACAACACTATCCATTACAGTTGTTCCATTGAAGTGCCCGTCCCGGAGCTTGCACCATGTTTTTACAAGGGAACGAAATGTCACCAAACCAAGCCTCTGGCCCCAGGGTTCAAACACCAGAGGCTCCCGCCTGATACTTCCTCACAATTTATTACCAGGCCCCGCTCTCGCGCGGGACTGCTTCACAATTTATCAAGAATCAAGAATTGCGCGTTGGGGAGGGGACCTCCTCGCAATGTATTCGGACACCGAACCCTCGACACTCAAAAATCACGCTTTCGCTGTGAAATTCCTCCGGATATGTTTGGAAATCGCGCTGTCGCTGAGACTTCTTCGCGCTCTAATGCAGCAGTCACGCTTCTCGGGAGCGGCCAAGAGGGGGGTGTCCAAGAGGGGGGGGTGCAAATCATGACCGGCGGCATGTGCGCGGCCCAGCGGGGGGGCCTGGGACGTAATGAAAGAAGAAGAGGCGCCATGAAATCTGGGGAAATATCATGGCCCACGCCATGATATCCACCCCTCCCCTAGTCATCACCCCCCTCTTTTCCGCCCCCGAGCTTCAGCAGCCCGCCTGCTCGACCTGGCTGCCTGGGCCCGCCTTCCGGGCCCGCCTGTGAAGCCGACCCGCCCGGTCTGCCCGTCTGGCTCTGCCACGTGTCTTCTGCTCCTTGCCCCCCGTCCTGCTACTCTTTTTCTCTCAATATGTTTCTCTCTCTCTCTCTCTCTCTCTCTCTCTCACTCGTGCTCCATCCTCCTCCTTCCTCCTTGTCCTTTGCTTGAGGATCATTTTGTCATGAAATTGCCGACCTGCCCTCGCCCTCTCCATCTTTTTCTGTCACATGGTTTGCGAATACCCTCCTCGCTCAGGCGGGGCCTCCCTGGAGGGGTGGTAGGGGCACGAAACCTGATAAATAACACTGTTTTCGAATAGCGTCCTCGCTCAGGCGGGGCCTCCCTGGAGGGTGGGAGTGGCACGAAACCTGATAAATAATACTGTTTTCGAATAGCGTCCTCGCTCAGGCGGGGCCTTCCTGGAGGGGTGGGAGGGGCACGAAACCTGATAAATAACACTGTTTTCGAATAGCGTCCTCGCTCAGGCGGGGCCTCCCTGGAGGGTGGGAGTGGCACGGAACCTGATAAATAACACTGTTTTCGAATAGCGTCCTCGCTCAGGCGGGGCCTTCCTGGAGGGGTGGGAGGGGCACGGAACCTGATAAATAACACTGTTTTCGAATAGCGTCCTCGCTCAGGCGGGGCCTTCCTGGTGGGGTGGGAGGGGCACGGAACCTGATAAATAACACTGTTTTCGAATAGCGTCCTCGCTCAGGCGGGGCCTCCCTGGAGAGGTGGGAGGGGCACGAAACCTGATAAACAATACTGTTTTCGAATAGCGTCCTCGCTCAGGCGGGGCCTCCCTGGAGGGGTGGGAGTGGCACGGAACCTGATAAATAATACTGTTTTCGAATAGCGTCCTCGCTCAGGCGGGGCCTCCCTGGAGGGGTGGGAGGGGCACTAAACCTGATAAATAACACTGTTTTCGAATAGCGTCCTCGCTCAGGCGGGGCCTCCCTGGAGGGGTGGGAGGGGCGCATGGTATTGGTATGGTATTGGTATGGTATTGTCATGGTATTGGTATGGTGGGAGGGAGCTCAGACGAAACCTGAGAAATAACAGGTGTTGCATGGTGTTGGTATGGTATTGGTATGGTATGGTCTGGCGTGGTATGGTATTGGTATGGTATTGTATTGGTATGGTATGGCTTGGTATGGTTTGGTATGGTATTGGTATGGTATTGGTATGGTAGGGCTTGGTATGGTATGGTATTGGTATGGTATGGTATTGGTATGGTATGGCTTGGTATGGCTTGGCATGGTATTGGTATGGTATGGTATTGGTATGGTATGGCTTGGTACGGTATGGTGATGTGCGGAATGGTATCGTATGGTATGGTTTAGGAGAAGGACGCGGGAGGAGGAGGAGGAGGAGGAGGAGAAGGAGAGGGTGTTCTGGGAAAACAAGAACCCCACTCAGGATGTGGGGAAATATACCCGCAAGGGGGTA